CTCTAGACAGGTCTGGTACCAATCTTCTCCGGAGGGATGGCGTCCTTGGTTGTACCTAGGGGTGGTCGAACCAGTGCACAGAGAGTCTATTGCACCGCATATCTAGCCAATGAGCTTTCCTCTCCCACTACTTTCATTACATGTTTTGATTAATAAATAGTGAGAGTCGATTATTAGTGCCACTCTGTGTCTGACTTATGAGATTTTCAGAGCTTTATTAACACCACTCGATAGAAACCCATTTCATAATTTATTATGTTGTTATTTTGCATTAATTTTTTTCAGCTTGGATTTGTCTTACATCACTGCTGATGTAGCTGCTTTTAAACTGTTCTGAAAACTGCACTTCTGCACTCCGTTTTGATTTTTTGTAATCGATAATAGTTAATAGTTTTATTCACTTACTGTAGAATTCTAAGCGCAGTTCCAAAAGACTCTAAAACATGTGCTTCTCAAAAATCGATTTCTTCTAAAACATACATTTAAAGTGAAATTTACGATACTAATTTATCTCAGGAATAGCCTGCAATTTTCTGCATTTCTCTAAAAATCTGAATTTCCCAGAGTTGTGCGGTGGATTCGAACAGCCTCGTGCTATTTCTACGGTTTTCTTTATGGTTTTCCGAATCAGCTTTTTATAAAAAAAACTTAACAGGTTGGAAAACTACATCTTAATTATGCATAGTCATTATTATCATACATATTTACTGTTTACGTGCTCAAATGGTTCTTTTGTAGATAACAAGTCCTTTATATCATTGTTCTGAATTCTGGTAGCTGAACGACATCGGAAGGGGAGCGATTCAAAGCTATCCGCTTCTCAACATGTATGCTTTCGTTGATAAGCTATAACACGGGGTTGATGAACAACTTTACTCAGCTAAGGTTTCGACGTTTTCATCTTCCTCACAACCGATCATCCAAGCGGATGTTCATAGTTGTTCCGCTATTCGCTTTGCTTTCCCACTTCATCTCGACTCCTAACGTCAAAATCACTTGATGAATTCGTTCAAAATCTGAGTTAAGGCCAGCCCCACTCCCTCGGGTATTCACCCTCCGCCTAAGCCTTAGCGGCTGGCTGGGACAGCCAAAGAGTGCCATGGTTCCATGTCGATTCGGATGTCGTTTATCGTCTCCATAATGGTGAATGTACGGTGTCGACAAATTCTGCAGTAAGCGCTTTTTCCTTAGTTTCAGTATGAAGCAAATTTTTTCTTTTCGTTTTTCATCCATGCAAATGTTAACGAGAGAGAAACGTGTAGCTCAGTGGCTAGATGTGCCCTGTAATACACACCGATTTGCTGATCTTGAAGGTTTAGAGAACTTGGTGAGCCAAGTGATCGAGGTTGAACCAACGACAAGTGTGGATTTCAGGGCACTTCTAGGAATTACGCTACACTTCCCTGGATATACATGTACCGTACCGAAATGAAGCCCTTTAAAGAAGGACATATTCATTATTTTGTTTTTATTCCTGTTTCTTCGATTTCTTGTGAACTTTCTTTCACATGTATCGCATATGTTGCTTCTATCAACAAAAGTTTCCTACAGAGACTAGGCTCATTTGAACAAAAAGAGAGGAATTCTTCGTCATCATATCTTCTGTTCTTTTTTCATTGCCAATTTCATTTCTGGTCAGATTTTGAACTAAACTTGTTATTTTATTGAAGCTGCTTTCCGAGATAACGAACGCTTTAACTATGTCGCTCGACTGGTTCTCCCACTACCTCATCGCTACTTCTTCTGGACCCGTTAAGCCATTTTCCAAGACTTAACGGCGTCGAATTCGTATTATATTTCTATCATTTAGCGCATTGCCTCCTTTCATCCGTATAATAGTTTTTGATGTTTTTTTTCCTCTGACCTAAAAACTTTAGGCGCAATAACGCGACACAAACGACGCCGTGATCATTTCGACAGTTGTCATTTGAATGTTTTGTCATTGTACTCCATCTGGGACAGCATCCTTGAAATAGAGCATTCGACACAATTTACGATAGGTTTTCCTGTGAATCAGCAGTGCAGTTGTTCGTTTAGCCGAGTCAACAAGAAGAAGAGCTTCCGTTACATCTTAAGGGAATTGTGCTAGTTATTCTATTCTGGTGTTTCGTTCTTTTTACATCTCTCACATGAATTCAGCAACACAAGCGAAACGTGTTTTAGTGCAAATTCGACAAATAACTCCCAATTTTTTCGAGAAACGGCCGATCCATTCGAGACAAACACAGCTGTTTCCTTTAACAATGTTGATGAAAAAGAAACTCATAGAGCGGTTGTGTTTATTAAACGAAAACTAGCTAATTCTGTGGTTTTTTCTGCTTCCACTTCGAAACTTTCGGCAGATGATCTGTTTTATTGAAATATTCATGAACAGCCGAAGACATCCACGACAAAAGTGCTGGAATATTTCGTGACGCTTCTTTTGAAACGAGAATGTGATTCTTGTGAGAAGTGTTGCTATATGAGTATGCCATACGTCTAGTGGAAAGGCGATTGCGCAATCATTGGGGAAACATGGTGGTAGCGATGAAGCGGAAACTGAATCGAGCATAACAGAATACAGGAACGTCCACTAACCTTTTGAACATATTGTTGCCAGCAGACTCGGCAGTAGTTCACCACCTAATTTTAGGTGGTGAGTCCACTATATATAGCGAAATTTCATCCTCTTAGCAAAGACTCCCAAACTGGGAAGCAGATCGATATTTCCATTCGGATGCTAAAACTATGGGTAAACCAATACCACGGATTAGCGCCTTCTTGGAAGCAATGTAGCCGCAAGATGGCAAATTCCTCTCCGATTCATAACGACAGGTAGTGACGGCTTCGGAGGTTCGTAGAACTGCTATCATGAGATTCCAGCGAAGCAGAGTCTTGCACGATTAGAAAGTTGTAAGTCAACTAGAAATTTAACTAGGTTCTGCACGATACTTTTTGAAGACGGGCCATTTAAAGATCAATGTTTGTAGGTAATGCCAAGAGAAGTCGCCATGAAAACACAACATCGACGACTGTAATTGAACTAGTAAAGGGGATCATCGGAAATTTTTCATCACATCATCAACACTTGATAGATCTGGTTTGGAGTTGTACGTGCATTTGTTCCCGTTTGTGCTCTGCTTTAGCATTTTGTTGTTGCCTTTGTTTATCATAAAGCTAGTGCGCTTGTGGCCTTTTTGGTCATCGACTATTTTATTTTCAATTGTGCATTTCGCTCTAGTACTTGTAGAACTTCGAAAAAATAACGATTACTCGAAATGGCGAGGTGACAGAGTTCATATCGCTAATCAGTTTGTTAGAGCCCATTCGCGTTCTATTCTGATTTCGTCGAGGAGATATGGATGTAGGCTGGAATTAAGTATTGAACGCGAAAAAAATGCCCGAAAACTAATCGATACGGACGAAATGTATAGCAGTGTGTGTAAAAACGTTAGAAAGTACCAATTAAGACTTCTATAGATCGTAAAACAATTTGCAGTATTTGAGTTCTGATTTATTGCCGACGTTAAGCGTACTACTCATGAGATTCTTTTCTCTTCGGAACATTTTGGACATAAGGAAATGCCTCTTTGTTACTGAGGATGTTCATCATCTGGTAGTTTTTTGATCAGACGGTGTGTTTATACTCTCGACGTGGTTCTACTATATCGCGTCAGCGATGTTGTGGCAACGGTTATCTATGATTTCGTTAAAAAGAATCATAGGGAGGAAGAGCGAGAGAGAGAGAGAGAGAATAAGTGAGATTGAGAAAGATCAAGTGAAGAACAGAAAGAGAGACAGAGAGTTCGAGACGGAGAAATGAAAAGTGAAGAACAGAGAAAGAGAACTTGTTTTCGATGTAGAACATCGATCGAATGTCATACGACCTTGCTCACAACGCAATCCCGTTTACCATAGTTCACATTGGTCACTAGTATCTTACTGTCTTTTTACGCATTAAGTATCGTTTCGTCCTTCATTCCAATAACTTCTTCACCATCGTCGTCTTCTACGACGCTGTGTTTTACTGTTTTACTCGAATCCTATCGTCTTCATTCTCAAATACTTCAGTCAGTCATCTTCACATATTGCGGTGACCTTCAATACTGACCACTTTCCCAGTACAAATACTTGTTCGTTAATTTTCGGTCGCGTTACGACGACCACTGTTCTCATTGCAATAGAGTGTTCATCAGATCTTGCTCTTTCTCCTGTGTTATGGATAGCGTTGATTTTTTTCATTTTGGCCGATTTTGTCTATCATATTTCTTTTTATTTCATTTCTAATGCCTACTAAAGCACGAGGTACGGTAAATGCGTACTAGTTCGCGGAACGTACGAAATCATTTATTGCATCATAAATGAGTAATGGTCTCTATTCCAGCATTACTTACATGTCCAGTTGAGCTGTGCAACATTCCTTACAGTTTTGGAATAACTGAACTGAGACGTTCATTGCTAACTGTCACAATTGGTCGTCGCTCTTCTGATTCTCGGGCGTGTTTTCACGATGTTCTGACTAATACCGATCTTCGGATGATGTATAGTCGTAATATGTGTTCGAGTTTTTAAAATAGTCGAATTCTTCGTTGGTGTTCGATCTTTCATTATCGGCAGTTCGATGCTCAGGTACACTTTCGTCGTAACCTGCTACAGTAATACATTTTATGGGACCTTAAATATTTGCAGGAAATATAATGCGATTTAAAACTCATCTCTAAGTTTCCTCTGGATACTAATAGCCCATTTTACTCCTTTTGATGCTACTGATCGACTTTGTACATTCTTTCAATTCCATCGATTTGTGTACCATTGAATGTTTATCAAACACTTTGAATGTATCGTAATGACGTTACAGTAATACCAGTTCAGTTGAAGTATTACTAAAGTCGATGTTTTCTTCATTGTTTATAGCGAAGTTATTCCATCGTTTCTTTCCGGATTTTGTTCCATTATGTCATCTTCATCACCAACTTATACTTTTTATCGCAGTAAATGTTTATTAACTTATAGAAAGGGCGATGAGCCAGCTTTCTAGCTTGCTGAGTTTGATTCTAGTCATCAGTAGCACGGCAGAAGATCTACATCTGACGACCAACGATGAAGGATATCTTACCGTTATCCAAGGATTCGCTGCTCAACTCAACTGCGCTCTCAACACCTGCTCACCGAACGTACGTCGTTATAGTAATCTTTTAAGCGTTCTGATTCATTTTTTATAGTTGGATTTAATTCCAGCTTTTCTTACTGTCTTGTTTTCTATGTTGTAATACGTGCGATTGATTTTTGATGTAATCGAATTCGATAGCAACTTAAAAATACTATCACAAGAAATACCTGCAGACCCAAAAGCGCAAGCAGAACCTTGTTGTTAAAAGAATTCTGTATCCTTCTATTATAAATGTGGTGGAAGTGGACTGGTAGTCTTATATCTGAGAAAATACTCATCTCTACAATCCTCTTATTAATATTGCGATCACACGAAATTCTCTCTAAAGCGATCAGTTCTTCTTGAAGAAATTCTCCAATGAAATTTGATTCTTTGATTTCTGAACCGATTATTGTTTGTTTGGGTTTTTTTCTTGCTGAACGCGCTATATAGGGAGCATGGTACTCGTTCTTAAAGGGAAAACAAGAAAAACATAGATGAGTCGCGAAGATTAGCAGAATTACCACCAGTGAACTGTCGCGTCACATAAAGAGAGGATAGGACTCACGTAGAATTCGATTCTTCGTCGCTTCTGATAATCGCTCAGCGAGCAGTTAACACCATTACCAGTCATAACATTGAGATGGTTTTATTTGTAAAAACTTTGTGGAGGAAACTTGAATGAGAAGAAGAGGAAACAATGACGCTTTGTTTTGATCCTTGTAGCATTAATTCTTTATTTTCTTGGTGAACGAACACGAGAAGTTACTTTATTCCCTACTACAGTAAAACTAATGTGGAAAAAAATAGTATGCAGCTCTGCCGTAATAAAGAATGAAGTAGCACCTCGTGTTTGCTCAGCCAGAATATGGAGAATTATTTGATCAACGCCGAGCTCAGTGGAAAGTCGGTCGTGGGATTTTGTAGCATTAGTTGGTTAAATTATGAAAATGTATTCTTCTTCTTCGATAACCTTTTCGTCAGATTTGATTACACCAAGATCTCAAAGATTTTACTCGTATGAATGAAAGAATGGATAAATTTTAATGGAGATATGATGTCTACGAAACAATTCGATGGTGCTCGTCGTCGTCGAGTATTCCAATTATTCAAAAATTTTGAGTTTGCACTTTTTCCAGTCAACTGAATCGACTTTATTACATAAACTATTCAGTAAAGAAACGTCGTGGCACTTTTAGCACATTAGCGCCTTGCAAAAAAGTAAACGTCATCGACTACGTTTTACAGGGAGCGCGCCAACCGGAGGGAGCGATTTTCAGGGTTGTTGGTAGATTTAGTGTGTTCCATGGTAGGACGCATGATTTGAAGTAGCTAAGAAAAAATCAACGACTTGCATCGATCGGTCTAAATCGTTATCTGTCGGCTATTACCTGAGATTGATGTATCAAATCAATGTGTATCAAACTAATAGCTGTTCATTCTACCGACTCCTTCCCGTCAATGAACAACTTACATCAATTATTAAGTCATTAGCTTAACTCAGACGAAACCATGAAATCCTTTCTGTGGTGAGTACCTTCTATCAAACTAAGAGGCCACTGACTAACAAATCAAGCTGTTAACACGTACTCACTCTCTTGAATCATATGTGAATCATAAGTGGGTCAAGGTGAAGGTAGACTTTCAACGTTATACAAAGCATGTATCAACTTTTTACTGAAGGTATTAGAGTCTGTAGGCACTTCCGACAAGATGCTAGCATTGTTATATCATGTACTGGTCTTTTGAAGCTCATAAATTATTCTTTTTTTCCATCAATAGGCTCGTATCGTAGGCAACGAGGAAATTGGACGAGCGAGATTTCACTGAACGGAGCAATAGTGTTACCCTAAATGTGTAATCCCCTTGAACCGTTGAAGCCTTAACTTGAAGCTTAAAGAAAGTTAAAAAAAGGAACATTCTGAAAAAGTTGTACATATTGGTTTGATAAGACTACGCCTTTGCTAAATTCTTCAAATCGTTTTCAATTGTTTTAGTTGTTGAAGTGTCCGTACTGTCACGTATATCTGAGTTAGAGAAAATGTGTCATCTGCTAGTTTCCACTGAAGTACTAGATCCTTATTAGTCGTCAAATTAACAACCATTATATGAATTGAATTTTATCCCTCAGGAAGTAGCTAAGGTCGAACGATTAAATCCTATCCGTCTGTGAATGTCAGGGTTTTTTTTAGGTTATCTGGTCTAAAGATGATGTAATTCTCTTTAATGGTACGAGTTTTGTGAAATCGTCATCGGTGGATGAGAAATCGTACAAACTTCAGCACAAAGTTGAAATCGACTATGAAAAAGGTGAGATTTGAGAAAAAGGAACTTGATTTTTCGGGTCATTGTCTGGTAATCAAGTTAGCACTTTTAATTTGATTTCGAAATGGGAGGAGATTATTGAATTATTAAAATATTAGATTGAAAGGGGTTCGTATAGGTGTCTTCAAACGATGGTAAACCGTAAAATAGATCCTGCAAAGTTTATTACTTGCCTCAAAATAAACGCTTTTCTTGGTGAAGGTTTGTTATTTTTTCAAAGTGTACAGCGTTATGTCTGCGTTGTGGCGATTTCTATGTATATCTTTGTCTCTTTCCATCTATCGGTTATTGTGTCACTAGTGTAATTGGACGCGTGTGGCGCAGCGGTCGGAGGCGCCCTACAACACACACGTCGAATCGGCCCATCAAGCCTTCCATCCCTCCGGGGTCGGCAAATTGGTACAACACTTGTCTGGAAGGATAGCAGCACTGGCTCGATACATCAGTAAGCCACCGCTAGTCATCGTAAAGGCCAAATGTGCATTCACTCACCTCCAAACGATTCTTAGTGAAGGCGAATGCATGGCGCACCCCTCAGGGAACACCGAGAGCTTTATCCTTTTTTATATTCTCTATATCTATTTCTATCCAATTGTAGTAGGTCCTTAAACCATTCCAGAAGTTCTGGTGAGTTATCGCGTCACTTAATTTGATTTCTGCGGGAATATTCAAGAGTTTGGAAAAGTTTCATAGCAGTATTCTTCTGCTACTTTAAGAGAATAAGGCAGCTCGCTAAAAATCGATTTGCCATATCCTTCCGTTTGGTTCATAATTTTCGTTTCTTGGATTTTCTAAAAAAAGAAACGGCCGATATCAGCTTCACGAAGAAATAAAAACGCCGCATCTTAACGACACGTTAATCGCCATGATAACGGTTGATTACTTTTTCTTGTTGAGAAGGTCGCATCCTGGCAGCCGTGTCAGATTAACTCACTGGAGCTCGCAAGCCTAAATTTCAAGTGATTGTGTCATATGGGTTAGCTGGCCATCGACTGTGCCACAGTTAGCTTACCAGTCATGTTTACGTCGAAAAACAGTTACGATTAGCTCACTAAACTTACGAGCATTTTTTTTGAGAGGAAATTCCAGACGAAGGTATTTCTTTCTCACTAAGTGGACATTGGCTCTTAATCTACATAAGGGTAGTGAATGTTTGCCGAGTTTTTGACCTTTAAAAGTCTTTGAGGAACTCGCTTTTTCTGCTATTCTTCATGGACATATAAGTGGTTCTAAATAGATTTCTTCGCTATTCATCAAAGGTATTCGATCCACTTAAAGGTTCATTTCTGATAGCGCGACAACAACTTGAAATGTCACTGTTTTGGTAGACAGAAAAAGAACAGAGACATGACGCTACTTCGTTTACATCGGGCCACTATAGTTTTTTTTCTATTTTTTATAGAGTGTCATTTCATCATCACAATACCAGTTTACGTTCAAAATCGTAGAATCCAGTTGAACAGAACGGTCTCACTGAAGGCCACCCATCTGATGTACTGTACTCCAGCTGTGCACAACTTATGGGAAAAAAAAGTGAGCCCACACAACATCTGTGCACTACAGGTACAAATCGTGCGGATGGTTTTGCTCAGTACACAAACACATTGGTCCATAACCGATATATTGATCGCGAATGATGATTATTAGTTTGTCCATACCTAATGAAGGGTTGGCTTTGTCGCTAAAAAGGCGTAGTGGATAGAGGAGCGGTGTTGAATATTTAGATGATGGTTCAGTATCTGCCTCAGATGGATCAAGTTTCTAATCGTTCGACGTTAATCACTTGTTAGTAGTTTGCTTCGCGAAGTGGCCGAATCGCATTTGTAAATTGTATTGCAAGCCGAAAGTGGTTTATCCAGTAAGCGACAGAATAAGTGGAACGCGAAGATGACCATACATATTGATAAATACGAACAGTACCAGAATTTCTAGTTATCCTCCACTTTTTGTGATGTTGAGAGAACTTTTGGTGGTGGAAAAGAGGAACGACTTGTTTGACTTAACGCTTCAATGGTCGGTCGTTTTCAACAAGCGTGGGGTTGGTTGGTGTGCAATTCCCATTAACTGGAAATTTGCTAGATCGGCATGGTTTCCTTTTTCTATGATCTTGAGATAGGCATGCTAGGACTTTCCTAAGTTGTCACCACGGGTAGACGATGGCTGCTGTGAATTGGAAAGGGGTTTTCCACCTTATGGTTACGCTAAACGTGGAACGGTAATTACTCACGTCATAAGCCTGCTTGTATGAGCTTCCGGAGGATATTGTCGACAGGAGTGAATGCAATAAAACAGAGGAAGGCTCATATAGCATAGACACATAATAACATATTTCCATTTTTTTATTGCCTAACAATCTATTTCTACCTACCAGTTCCTTTCCTTCTTCATCGATTTCTTCGCTCGTCGCCCTCTCTTCGTCACAGCGATTTTTAATTAGCTTCTATTTCACTCCCTAAACCTACTAACCTTTGCCTCTGTCATTGAGAGTTGCAAAAATTTCTTTTTCTTCATGTGGCCATCAACAAATTTCACTAAGATGAAAGGTGAAGTTTTTTCAGGTTGTTCGAGTTCGTGTGACGATTCGACACTATGCGCCATAGGGACTTCGTGTGTAGATAATCAGTGCTGTAGTTGTTCAAAGGAGGAGTTTACACTGATTCTAAGGAATTTATCATTCGAAGATTCTGGACGCTACAGATGCCAAATCGGTAACCAATCTGAACAACTGGAGTTCCAGGTTGAAGTGCTTGGTAAGCAACCGAATAACATTTTTTGTTTTCATTTTATTTCGTTTTGACCCGTCTTCACGTCTACTGTACAGATCCCAGCACTTCTCAATTCGTTTCCTCGCATCCATCATCCACGAGGATCTTCTAACGTTACCTTTGGCTTCGTTTGCTATTTGAGAATTTTCATTTCATCTTGAATGTCGTAGAATGCTGGTGTAGCAATTTTTCCTGGAGTCTTGAGATAGCCGGGTTGGAGCGTTCGCAGTTGGATTGCAGAGGGTGATTTTCTTCCCAGACAAATCTGGTACCATTTCTCCGACCTCGGAGGAATGAAAGGCTTGGTTGGCTAGGAGCGGAATCGAACTAGCACCATGGTCGTGATGACGCGAATCACTGCCACCGTGCTATCCGCTCCTCGAATAACATTTAGCGTTTTAAAACTTAAGAATGCTCAAATATTTCGTAGGAGGTTTAGTCGAACACTTTATATTGTTGAATAGGACGAATTTGCTTATATCGGAAAGGCAGAGATTGTTTTTGTTTTTCTAAGGCGATCACCGAATAGCTACGATGCTCGTTGGTGGTCGTCGTATTTGGATGGCCATCACTTTGCGGATTGTTCCCGCATCGTCATTCTTAGTTTAAAAACAATCGTTCACTTATTATGCACACTATAGAAAGATTGTCATCCGACAGGACTATGAAAGGTTATCTACATAAACGACCATTTATCTTTTAGAATCCGGTCTTAAAGGTGGATTTCACGAGAACATCTCCTACGATCATTCTGAATGCTGCGCTGAGAAGGGTATCTCTACGCTTTGCCGAGCGATGTGTAAACCAAGTGAAATGGCCGAATATCACTTCGATCCGACAAGGTGAACTATTCAAAGCATGCGATGGAACACAACACACTGGTAGTAACACTTAGATTTCGGCACTCCGCAGTTTATACAACTTTTATTTGAACTCTTGCTGTATGATTCTGACCATGACATAGAGACAGTCGTAGGAGAGATATTATAAGAGTTTCTTGAGGAATCTTTGAAGTGAAAATTACCATGCGATAAATTTTTCAGTTGCAAGACTGACGATTATAAGAACTTCCTCGCGTGTGCCACTGATAATGGGAATCGTACACATGTGCACTGTTGCAAGACACAACTAGTACCGTCCTTTTGCTATGACTTTTGCTCAGGAGACTTTAAAGTGAGTATAGTGGGAATCAGAGCTTGTATGACTTGATTTACACAAGGACTTTGCAGTTATTGATAGAATTATGACTTTTGAAAGATGGTCATCATTATTTAACTTCATAACAGTTCTCAACCATTTCTCAAAATAAATTGTAGGGTATCTCGAACTGGTTTAGTTTACTGAGCTGAATCCTCAATAAATAGAGAGGTTATTAATTTTTTAGCGTTGTAAGGTGCCTTTTTGGGCATTTTTATGGAGGTTTCGGAGTTTTCTTGTGAGTTCCATGCTAGTAATGCTCTTAGAGCTGCTGATTATACGAATATTAGTGTGTTTATGGTGCTAGAATTTTAAAGCTCTTTGTGTTTTTTATTGAAAATTTATCAATGTCTTTTCAGATGCTTCGTCGATCACATCGTCTGTGTTTGTACTATCTGCCGGAGATATTCGAATGCTACAATCGAGCCTACCGTATGTTAACAAATCCTCCTTTAGAGCGTTTTCCTACTCGTAACCGTATTCCACTGACGGCGTCCTTATCAGACAGCCATCATCATTCATAAATAATTAGGCAACTAGTCCGTAGTGTTGCTTCTTTTAATGGTGCCAGCATGTGGGTATGTGCGTGTGTGTGTGCGTATGTGTGTCTGCCGGTGCGTTCTACCATTTATGATTTTTCTACTGCCTCCGCAAAAAGTCTGCCACACGTTTTTATGGCCTGATGAAACTACAAATACGCGTCCCGTGAATCCTTCTTTAGAAATTTTCATGACTGCCGCTCAGTCCCAGAACTGGGTTCGCTTTAGGTACCAGCACTTTGCCGTCAATTTTTGTCTGGATACGGTAATTCCATGGTAATTGTAGCAATTTTGCCCTGAATAAACACGTCAGATTTCTGCAGTGTTCTCATCCACCAACAAAGAGCAGGCGTAGTTGTTTTTACAAAAGAAAACATATAAACTGTGATAATGGCTTTCGATGACTTGTTCAGTCGTAAGCAGAAGTTCTGGTAAAAAAAATGGGTAACAATGAGATAGAAGAGGTGGTTGGTGGTCATTAAACATTTTTTTGACGTTCTTACACATAATCCAAAAGTTTTGACCGTAAAGAGGTCTCCACCAAGTTTTAAAGATGGGTATTTGTTATCCGATTTCCGGAGAACCCTGGATTTTTGTTAGTTTTTCTGTTCAACAATACTCTGAACAATTATTTGGCACGGTTTATTTTTGAGGTTTCTGTCCAAGCTACTTAAATTTACATTGGAAATTCAATATTATTTATCATTCGTTAGAAACCTATGGATGACCTTTTGGCTCATTGCAGTACCGTATCCGGATCCACCAGAGCAGGTGGTGGTAAATGCGGTGGAACACGACAAGTTGAACGTTTGCTGGAAACCACCACTCGTTCACGAATCGAACAAGAACTTCCCAGTTATCGACTACACTGTCTTCTACAAAGAAATACCAAATTTTCCGCTTATGGGTGACGATATGTAAGTAATCAATAGATTTTCCACTCCTTATAATAGTCACATTATTTATCATAATCAGACTATGTGCAACCATACGAAACATGAACCGGTTGTGGTTAGAGTCGACATGGTGAGAGTGGTGAAATAAATCTAAGAACTAAGTACGGTAGGGGTTTGGAAAAGTAACGGTGTGAGTAACGAGAATTCAAATCAGTAAACTTCATTCCGCCATGTACCACCTGTACCATCTGTGATCTCTCTGATTGTCGATGACTCGAGCGGGCGCCAATGAATATTTCATTTCTCTCTGCCCCAAGCAAAAGTGTGCTAGTGGGTTCTGCTCGCTTTGGGAACTCGTTGATCATCATATCTTTCTTCCAGGGTTTTCATGAAGGACGCTGACCACAGTGTTGGTGATCTTTCTGCTATGACTTCGACATCTTGGGGAATAGAGGTACTGACGGCTCTTGTTCGTCGGTTGTCGTTCATTCACACAACGTGTCTAGCCCACCTATCTTGAACAATTTGGCATGTAGAACGGCGTCTTTGATTTTTTGTCGTTGAGATAGGTCGAAGCTTTGGATTCCTTCCCTCGGTTGCGTGATATCGAATACTCCTAACGTCGCTCTTTCAACTGCGCCTTGCATAATGTTATGTGATCTTTCGTCGTCCTTACTTAAAAATAGGTTTTCTGACACATACACTAAGGCAGGAAAAATCGTAGAGTCGAAAAGACGGGCATGGAATTAAGTGCTCTTTATTCTTCCCATTATATCCTCAATGATCTCGAAAGCTCCGCAAGCCGCACGAATTATTCATCACGTTGACTTCCCGACCTAGATATATTTGGCTGAAGAATTAGGAGACATTCGTGAGTGGGGCATACGAAATCACTCCGTTCGTCATGAACATCGGTTTTTGTCAGATTTTACAGAGGATCAATGTTTCCCTAAGCTTTGTCACAATCGGCTAGCATTCGTTTCGTCTGGATAATGCTTAATGTTGGAAAAACGATGTCATCAGCAAAGCGAAGATGATGTAACTGCCGACCATCGATCTTCACTCCCATATTATCCCATTCCAATATTCGCATGACGTTCTGGAGGGTGGCGGTAAATAATTTTGGATGTATGGCATTTCCTTGCCTAACTCCTCTCTTGACTTCAGTGTTAATATCATTGTAGAATAGTGATATGTTGGTTGTGAAATTTTCACACAGCTTACAAAGAATCTTTTTATACTGACTATGGACTCCCTGCTATCCAGGTCTTCCATAACTACTTCTATCTCAACTGAGTCGAAAGCCTTCTTAAAGCGATGAAGGTGAGATGATTTCTCCTATCTAATCCTTTTCGAAGCTCCTGTTTGCTCACATGGCTGTCGTTCGTTCAGTGTTCTATCAATCCTATTTGGGATAACGTGAGTGAAGAGTTTATAGAAAACAGACAGCAAACAGATTAGGCAACAGTTTCTAATGTCTTTCTGATCTCCTTTTTTCAAGAGGTGTTATTGGTGTTCTAGTGAGTAGAAACTTTCCATTCTAATAGGCAACGTATGAAGAGTCGACCTATTGTGTGTATGAAGACTAGCGAAAGTTCTTCAGGTATTCAGGGCTTGCCATTTATAGTCCAGGTGCTGTGCGATTCTTCAGCGACAAAACAGCATGTCAGACTTATTTGGTGAAGCAACATATCCATCCTCTTTGACTTCATAGGAAGACAGGAGGACATAGATGTTAGAGAGATCGGATTAGAACTCCTAAACGATTTTCTCCATCACCTTCAGAAGGTTTTAATTATGCCGTCTCGACGTCAGAGTGCAATCTCGTGATTTGAAAAGTTTCCGCCGGCTTTTCGATTACTTTTCCAGCTTGAGCAACTTCGGCCTTTATCGACGCTCTTCTCTGTCAAGATCTTTTTTATCGTTTTCCGGCAGAGCTTTTCAAGTTCGAAAGTGGCGATTTCCAATGGTTTGTGCGATTCCGTGCTGGTATATCAGCTCGAGTTTTCCTAGGAACAGACGTCTCTTGGCTACTTCCGATCTCTCAGCTATCATAGCGCTAACGTAAAGGTGTTGAACGGGTCAGTCGTATTCTTCGTGGAGTTTATCAACATTGGCATTCTTCGTGGAGCTTATCAATAATACGAATAAATCCCATTTTGTGGTAATTTTGGGTTTTCGTTTTTGAACCTGGCGGCTTTCCCTCCTTTCCGCGAAATATGGAATCTTGTGCGAAGAAGGTCATAGTGTGCTCCCGTGTAGCATATTAAGCCAGTAGCGACATACGTTAAGGAAAGCCTTCGCTTTACTGTGGTATGGTTTATTTAGTTATGGTACTTGTTGGAAGGGGAAACTCCGAAGTCCAGCCTTAAGAGCGACGCTTCCGGAATTGTGAGTAATTATGAATGGTCTTAGTCATAATGATAAACTTAGACTGTGGCTCCTACTGTTCGTTCTATTCGAATCCGTGAGCCCAATATGGCGTTCTCATGACTATTTTCTGAGTGAAGTCTTAGCAATATAATCAGCATCTTCGAATTTCATATACAACTCTTCAACTTCGTCTTCGTTATAGTTTGTCGTAGCCACGTGGACAATGTGGATTGTCAAAGCCGGTACTGATCCTCGTCTCAGCAATCGCTAACGTCTGATTCAGGTTATTGTTCGAATGAACCTGTGTTCATGGCCAAACTCATGTTGGCGAGACCACCGACGGCGACGTCTCCTCTACTGTTGCGTGTCTTAGACGGCGTTGAATAGGTGGCGTCGTCTCGTCTCGGTCAGGCCGATGACGTCGTGCCTTATCCTTTTTGACTACTTGTTCAAGTGATCGTGCATTGTAGATACAGATCACCAACTTAATCCTTTGAGATTTGGGCGGCTTAGAATGGCTCTGAGATTTTACGTCTGTCCGCACTCATCTCAGCCAAAACTGCAGCATCAGGGGTCCTTTCAGGGTCAGGGGAATGGGGCCCACTTATTTAACCCTTTTTAGCATTTCATACACAAACAAAGTTTGCTGAGCTCTTAACGTAGGGGTTGGAAGTACTCACAGGTGGTTTCTACCGGCCTTTCCTACAGTTGATGAGGAGCTGATTTGTAGGAGGTGACTCCTAACTACGTCCTATGTATTTCCCAGTCACTTGAATGTGGGCTGTTTGCCGAGTTGACTCGTAGAATACAGTCCGCAAAAACGAGGCAACATGAAAATACATGGATATATTTACGTAGACAGGCGGATTATGTCAAATGGCGCATCAGAAACAAAGTATCTATCCCTAGATCCACCTTTCCCTTAGGGAAGTACAAAATGGTTTTTGCTCCATGTTTACCTCCCTATCAGCCACATAGGCACTCCACGTTTGCTCACGACAATGGAAGAAGATAGCTCTCTGAGGGAGGTCATGTCATAACAAAAATGTATACCAGTATTTTGAAGAACTTCAGCTAACTGAGTCTTCTAATTAATGTAACATCTATCAACGAATCATACAAATGTCGTTTATACTAACGTGAACAGTTCGGATGTGAATGAATTTTTAGCAGTTGCAAATTTTTTCCATCAACTAATTTTCCGTTTTTTCATTTGTAGGTAAGTAAATTTGACCGAAAACTACGTGTCAACACCACAGTATCACAAAACTTTACGTATATTTTTTGGAAGTTTTTGCTGTCACAGTTTGTCTTAACAGAAAATATGATGGGATTTTGTGACAAACATAAATTTAAGTGTTACCGTAACAACGGTAAGTAATCTGCTCGATTAGTACTTTTTTGAGGATGTGTTTATTCTTTTGAGTGAGTGTTTCTGTTGCTTCGTTGTTCAAATGAGCTTTTATCCGCTTTTCTGAACAAACCTTCCACGGCAGTTTGTGGTTTTCAGCGGCATACCCCTTCTGAATGGCGATTACTCAGAATTCGGCGATATTGATGAAGATAGCGACTATGTCGAAGCGGATGGCACAACCGAGAAGCCGACTGAACGAACAAGACGAGAGGACACAGTGCGACATTTTGATATTTTAATTTTTCTTCAAATTTTACCATTAAACGATATTATCACACCAGGTCGGTTGGTATGGATATTCG